ATTGTATAAGGCTTAAATATTAGAAGGTTTTAAAATATATGAAGCAATGATTAATGTTAATTGATTTATAGAGTGTTAATCAACTAGTTAATGTTTGAGGTTATTTAGGAAGAATAAATCGAATAAAACTTTAGAATAATTGATTTAACAAAAATATTTAAATGGATTATTTTGGTGTTTAATGTTTGTTGCATAATATATTAATTGCATGCATAACTAATCAAGATTAATGTTTTGAAATTAAAATATATGGAGCACCACATGTTAAAGTAAGAAATATTTGCATCAAGATTGAAATGTTCAATTGCTTGAGATATCTATTCGATGCGTGACTATTTACCAAGTAAGAGATAACTGTTTTTCCTTGTTACAAGCATATTCCTTGCTATTTGTAGGTATGTTTTAGGGATATCAATAATCTATAGTATAATGTTCTTTTCTTTTTATTCACAACAGTTTAAAGTGACCATTTTGACACAATGTGATAATTAACTTTGCCATTTTAATTGTTGCACACATTTCTAATTAGCTTACGTACACACATGATTTTGATTGTGCTCACACAAATCATGAATTATGCCATGTAATTGTGTTTACTCACCCTTGTTAAGAATTATTGCCATATTATAAGAAGTTGTATAATATATGCTTGTGTGTATAAGGAGTGTAATGTCAATTTGAAACCCTTTTGGACATTGGCAAAGTTGGATTGACAAGCCCATAAAGTGACAACTATATAGGAAATCATTAAATTTCTTTTGGATTGATGTTTACCCTTCTAGCAGGGTATTATAGTAAATCAACTATAAATAAATATACATTGATATGCAGAGAAAAATAGTAAATAACTAATGAGCCATTCGTGAATGTATAAATAATAAATGCTTGTAAGTGAATACTTTTACATATGAATATAATGATTATTAATTGGCATGAATAATTATTTATGGACCATGCTATATAAGAAACACTATTAAATGATTTATATATCATAAAAAAATCTCATCTTTTTATACATTATTTGAAAATATTGTAGTACACTTTATTTATTTTCCAGTCATGTACCTTTGTTTGCTCATACCTTATCATTTATGTTTTATTCAGTGATATTCCATCTATCGAGTTTGTTTCCTGCAGATTACCTTCATGATTTCAAGGTTCATGCTTCAGATTCATCTTTAAAAGGTATGTAAGATTAGAATGATTTAATTTATTAAATAGTAAGTTAGATTTCATTTTTATTTTGGTGAATAGTTAATATGTGTTTGAGTTAATATGCTCTAATGATTTTACAAGTGAACCTAAATTATTGAAAACATATATTTTATTGATATGAAGTGTTATTTTTTTCTAACTTGCACTCCCGGTTTGATTTTTGTGATTTCCTTCTAGGCCCAATGACAAAGTGTAACATCTATGATTCCTAGCTTGTAATATTGAGAGAATTATAATATATTACTATGTTTATGATGTTCTTCAAATATTGTATGACCGATGAAATGTGAGAAATTTGTACTCTGATTTTATGTTATTAAGAAAGTTAATTTTCATTTTGTTAAAAAAGCAATACAAATCTAGCACTAGGCTTTATTAGGGATTCTAAGAATTCATAAATACTTGGACAATCTTGAGAGATTAGAGTTTACATGGATTCATAAGATATTATTATTATTATTATTATTATAATATCTTTTATGTATTTAAAATTCGTTATTATTATAAGTTTATTAGAAAGGATTTGAAAATATTTTCACATAAACATGGGAAAAATAAAATGGTGACATAACTAAGACTTCGTTTGGGATGACTTTCTTACTGCTTCTTAAATAGCTTTCTAGTTCAAAACTTAAAATTTGTGTACTCAAAAACTGCTTTAAGAAACATTAAACAAGCAATCCCAAGTAAAACATGAATGTTAACAAAATAAAAGTTTTAGGTAATTTATTTTGTTTTAAATTTTATTTTTGGACAATATCGAAAAAAACGATTTTGTTGAGTTTTTAAAATTTTAAATTTATCTTATATCTTGAGATGAGTGAAGTGCACATGACACCAATTTTTAAATGATCTCTTAACTTTTATACCCATTATGATTAATTTTTTTTCATGGGAACTTTATATAAATTCTCCCATAATATTATCTATTTAAATCATACTTTTTATTCAATATTAAAATAAAACTTAATGTAATTTTTTATTATGAATATTTTCATAAATTTATTCTACCACATAGTTTTCTGCAACTTTTTTTTTTTTTTTTTGGGAAAATTTGGGGCCAAAGCCCATATATTAAATAAGCAAAATTACAAATAAAAGAAACATTTAGTTACAAGTAAGTATAGAAAAACTATACCACCCAAAACCTTAAAAAAACCAGTAAAGAAAAAACATAAAGATTTGGAACAGTGGACTCAGAAATAGAGGTCTACAACGGAGGCGTCTAAGTCCGGCACATAGAAAAAGCCAGAATCCAGCCAACGAGACACCGGTTGCCTGGGGTGAAGACGACAGACCATCACAGCGTCCCAATAATTACTCGAAAACCTGGTTGCCAAAGGCCATCCAAGGAAGCTGGATCGATGTAGACCATGGCTCATCATCGTCCCATAAATCCAAATCTTGTAGATTGAGCTAGAAATGTGGCCCAAAATAAGATCTCAAGAAGAAGGAAATAAAAACCTCCAGCCGCCAAAATTCTCAGTTCACAGAAGCAGCATCAGCCACCAAAAAAGCATAAACTGTAATATAACCAAAAGAACAAACAACAAGCAGAAGATCTGCCAGAGAATCAACAAGAAACCTACAGAGTCCTTCCAGGGAACCACCCGCATCTAACCAATCAGCCAAAAATTTCAGCAAATCTATCTTTAAGAACATCATGACAATTCCACCTCTTAACTTTAGCACGAATAACATGGATAATAACAGCATTAAGCTCATTAGGACTTCTCGAAACATTAGCAAACCTCTGGTTATTCCTCTCCCTCCAGATAAAATAGATAATAGCAGCAACAGTAATAAAACCAAACTGTTTTTCTTTCTTACCAAAATCCCGACAGTTATCCAGGGCATCATAAACTTGCATTAAGTTAGGCCTTAAATAAATTTTTTTCATCACAGGTAATAAACTAGATAGAGTATTAAAGGAGAAGTCGCATTGGAAGAAGATATGAGAATGATTTTCCAAACTTTCCCCACAAAGAGAGCATCCAGAAAGCACGGGAATGCCCCTAAATGAGAGAATATCAGCAGTTTTGAGATTGCCTAACATAGCCATCCAAGCATAACAAGCAAACCGTAAAGCACAACCTTTATGCCAGATAAACTTATGCCAAGCCATACCATCCAAATCAACATAAAAATTAGCCGTGAGTTTCCAAACATCAGGTTTTGGGGAGCCCTCCCAAGATAACACTGGTTGCTCCCCCAAAATTACAGTATTTGAAATATCAGAAGCAATCTCCCTGGGTAAAAAATCCGGCAGCACCCATTGATCCTCCCTAATAAAATCATGTAAAAACTTACGATTCAGCCTATTGGAATAAAACCGCTCCGCAATCGGTTTAGCATTGCACCACGGGTCCCAAAGGAAGGACATATTACAGTTATTGTGAACCAAGAGTGAGACAGAGGGAAGAATGGAAACAGCCACCTGACAAAATAATTTTCAGAATTTGGAGGCAAACAAAGGAGGAGATTTTCAAGGGGAGTCATATTTCTCTCTGAACCATGCCCCAATTAAAGTGTTATGGTTAAACATCATGAAAATGAAGGAACAAGCCATGTTATGATAAAGAGAGTCAAAGGATGGAAGACCCAATCCCCCTTTGCATTTTGGAACAACCACCGACTTCCACGAAATAAGATGGAGTTTTCTTTTCTTTGATGTTGCAAAAAAAATAAGAATTTAGAACATATTCTTGAGATAGCTTTACGACAAGCTTTGAGTATGATTGCACCACGAATCCAGTAGGCTATGGTGTTGGCAATAGTGAACTTTAAAAATTGTAATCGACCTGCAAAAGAGAGAAACTTAACTTTCCAACCCTCATGTAGAGAAGAAATCTTACTCAATAGGGGTTGGAAGTGAGCAAAATGAAGTCTAGATGTGGAGATTGGAAGGCCCAAATAGTATATGTAATCCTCAATTCGAGAAATGCCAAGCCTGGAAGAAATGCCATTGTCAAAAGTAAGGCCTTTAGGAAACATCAAAGAACTTTTGTTAGGATTAATTTTAAGGCCAGAAGCATCAGCAAAACGATCCAGAATGCTTTTGAGATAAGAAGCATTATCATTAGTGGCAACCCCAAAAATCAGAAGATCATCCGCATACATAAGATGATTAATATTGAGATTATGCTTATGAAGCCCAATAAAAGAGTTGTGACCTTGATCATCCAAGCAAGAGGATAAAGCGTCCATGACAATGCAAAAAAGAAGGGGGGATAGTGGACAACCCTGCCTTAGCCCAGAGGAGGAATTGAAAAAACCTTCCAAAGACCCATTCAGACAAATAGAAAAGTGCACATCAGAGATACAACCCCTAATCCAAGTGATGAAAAGCTCAGGGAAACCTTTTTGCCTTAATTTGTTAAGAAGAAAATTGCTGGAAACCGAGTCAAAGGATTTTTTTATGTCAAGCTTTGCACAAAAATACTTCTGATTCCCTTTGAAATCTCTCAACACTTCAGAGGCAAGAATAATGTTGTCGGTCGAACATCTCTTTGAAATAAACCCCGATTGACTTTCCTGAATAATGAAGGGAAGAATAGGTTTCTGCAACTTTTTGGCTAAATCCTTCTCAATTTAGTTGTTACGCGATTTTGCCTTCTTGTAAATTTTTTTATACAAATAAAAGTAGGCTACTTCCTCAATTTCCTCAAAAAAACATTAAAAAAAAAAAACGGACAGCTGTGGTCGCCGCACCCCAAATATCAAAGAAATGTCGTATAAGCGAAGCCAGGTGTGCTGATAGGGAGGAAAAAAATGGCGTGGTTTGGTTGAAGGCTATAGGAGCGGCTACATTTCCATGCTCTACTGAGATTCGCAATGGGTCGTCCGCTTGTCGTCAGAGTGGAATAAAAAGGTTGGGGAAAGGAACCTTTTCGATCCATCTAAAGTGAGCATCGCGTCCAAGGCAAGCAAGGATTGCCCCGCAAACCCTAGGAAGTCATTGAGTGATTGTCCTCCTTGCCCAAACAACTCCACCTGTACGCGATTTCCAAAGAATGCTGTTCCGATCTAATAGGTTTCTAGCTCAAATGGCGCGGAAATCGTTCTTCACTCACCTATGGAGCGGTTCGTCCCGGTAGCCGAGAAGGCCATTGTAGTTCAGCGTGGCGGAGTAGTGATCGGCGCTTGGCGATGGCTTACAGGGCGGTCCCAAGACAGAAGAGATTAGTGACGACGGCGAAAGCGGGGAACTCACCGTCATCATCGACCACATCCTCGTCGAGGCTAGTGCCAGAGGTTGCATCGGTGGATGGGCAGAGCTCACCGGCGTCATCTTCAGCCAAGAGCAAGCCGCATTCCTACTTGGAGAGTCCCGCGCTGGATACAGAGGTGGCGAAAGAGAATGTGACAGTCACCGTCCGCTTCCGTCCGCTCAGGTTTTATTTTGTTCATGGCTGGTTTCTGTATTGTTTATGCCGAAATGCAAATGTGCATTTTCTGAAGTGACGGTCTATCTGTTCGGGAAGTAGCCCACGAGAGATTCGCCAGGGGGAAGAGATTGCTTGGTATGCGGACGGGGATACTGTTGTTAGAAGCGAGAATAATCCATCAGTGGCATACGCATACGGTAAGTGGTGTGTCTAGCAATAACATTAAGGTGTATTATAGCTTATATTCTTATGGATCTGCAATTCCTTCAGTACCTTGTTCCTTCTGGAGAAAGTTGGTGGTTGGCTTAGTTGATATGTTATATTCACTTCCAGGAAATTTATATAATGCTTAGTTACCTTAATCTATGGAAAACAGACTATGTATGAACTATATCTAGTTATCTACTTAAAGTTTTTTTCCCTTACATTGTGGGCATGCGGACACTGGCATCACATAGCTTGTTAGATCATGTGTTTTATGCGAGCCTTGCATGTTGACTGTAATGGTTTATGCCATTCCATTTTAGTGGTTGATGTGGGACATTGTTTTTATCAGCTAAGATGAACAAATTTACTGCTACAACCCATATGTTTCGCCTGGTATGCACCAGAAGCATAGGTTGCAGCCTTGCATTAGAAAACGTTTGTACATATTTAATGTTAGTTTTATTTTAAGCCTGGTAAAATTATCCCAACGGTAGTTCTTTAGAACGGAAATAGTTTGCAGTTGCTGTTTTGGGGTTGTTGTTTTTAAATACTATCTCAATAGAAAAAAATTCATTCGTGGTTTACTTGGAAATAACCAATATGTTGCATCAGAATTTGTTAAGTTAATAAAATTATTAATTTCTTTTGCGCAATGCACAATCAAGAAAGTGATGAAATATCAACTGTTGATTAAACTATTCATTCCTTTTTGTAGTAGATATTTTTGCAATTAATTGAATTCCGCATTTGCTCCAAGATTCGTTAATTCAACCTTTTGCTAGCAAGCTGGAAAGGAAAAATAAATCAACTATAGCCTGAGCTAGAGGTTTCCTTTCAAATAGACTTTCTTGTACTTCAGAGAGAGCTTTACTAATGGGTTCAAGATTCCAAACCTTAAGCTGGTACTAGCTGGGCATTCTCTCATGACCAAGATTATTTCAGGCAATTAGTGCCCCCAGTAAAGTGCAAAAGCAAACAGAAAAAGGAAAACATTCAGACCTATTTAGTTGTAATTTGTAGTTTTGTACAAGCTATTGTGACTTTTCCTAAGTTTATCGGGTCATTGTTACAAATTGATAATTCCTTTGTAAATTGCAAACTACACTTGATTGTAGACATTTTCGTATTTCAGGGCTAAGTATTGACTTGGAGTATGCGATTCTATGTTAAGTTAAATAGTATGAACAATATTAACCATATATTTGAGCCAAGAGAATTCAAACAATTGCTATGGCTATGAAAATTAGTCTAGTTTATTCATGTAGAAATTGAATGAAGTGAAGACATATGTGTGACCCAATTCACAAAATATAGACTAAACTTTGGCATTTCCTTTTAAAAATACAACAAGATTTCATTTGAAATTGAGATACAGCTCTGAATTTAATTTTGAACATGTTATAAATATTATTGTAGGCTCATTTAAAGAGAAAAATTGCTAATGGAGAGGAATTATAGTTGAAAATGTTGAAATCCTTACTATCTCATGGTTTTGTAACCATCTTAATTGTTCCATTTTTGAACTTATCATCCAATCATAATCAAAGATTTCTTTGTCATCATTAATCTTATCCAAACTATTTGGAGTTAGATTTTATGAATTCTCATTCTCATTTGTTCTAGTTGCCTATTGAAGGAGGTTGTAAACATATTATGGCAAATTGAATTGCGTTTTTCTACTTTACTTTTATTTGAAAATAGCTTTAAGTGGTTTGAGCATGTGTGACAAAGCATGGATGGAAAATAAAAAAAATAAATCAATGTTTATGATTAAAACAAGGTTTTTAGGGCTTCTGTAGGTTTAGATTTGGAGGAAAAATTCCCTCCAAATATTTTAGTTAACTTAATAGTTTTTAATAGGGATATTTTGGACATGAGATTTAGCAAAATTTTATGTCATGACCTGGCCCGTATACTCGAACTAACGAGGCGGGAACTAACAGTCGGATTGTTATAACAGTTTTTTTAATTTCAAACGCAGTTTATCATCTACATTCCAAATAAATTGAAAAGCCACTAACATAATTTTTCATCAAAATATTAATACAATTTTTGCATCTTCTTCATTTGCATAAATTATATTTTACCTGCTTTCATTTGAGCACCGTCTTCTGTAGGCATATTCCTCTATTCAATCATTTTTACTTCTCTAATGATTTACCTGAAAAATTTTATTATAACAGTTTGAGTTTACAAAGTAAACTCAGTGGGTAATCCTCATTTCATATACACCAGATAATTATATATAAAACATGTATGTTCCTTTGCCTTTCGTATACAGTTAACATATGCATCTTCTTTCATATGTTATAAATTTTAGAACATATCTTTCACATAAATTACTTATTCCGTTTCATCTGTCCATTTTCATTTAACATTTATTTCATTTCCATTTTCATTAATACAGCATCATCTAAATGTACCAATAAAGGTATAACTATTTCCATTTAATGTGCACGAGTACGTTGTTTCCCCAGCCAGTACCATACGGGGGTGAATTTTTGTAATTTGCATGCATGCACATTTTCCATCTTTTAATTCTTCCATTTTGGTTAAATCATCATTCAATATTTTTTTCCTTTACATTTTTTATAGTAATCTGTCTAGTCATTTTATTCATAAGCGAATAATTTACATTTCCATTTGTATTCATATAGTCTTCATTATATAATAATCATTTCATCAACATAATATTCATTCCATCAATATAATACTATAATATACAATAGTTTTAATAAAAAAAATAAAGTTAAATAACGTAAATGGAATTGGGAATTGATATAACACAATTGAAATTACCCACTTTATTTGCTTATATACTTCAATATCTTTCAAATAGTTGATTCCTGAGATAGCCTTCCTTAATACAACCTAAAGTTTTACACCCAATTATATAGTAATGATGACAAAAGATGTATGCATAAGTTGTCAAGCAAAGAGATAGAAGAGGCATTGTTTAAAATTGCACAATATGAGTCTCATCTTGAGACCTGCCTGAACATAATTCCGGTGAAAACTGCCTCAACCTTTTTTATGAGCTGTGTGCCTTAGTTTGGTTGAGGCACGCCTCGCATTGCTACAGTGAGGTGTCTGCCTCATCCTATTTGTATATATTTTTTTTAATTAAAACTTACCCAAATTATAAACTAAATCTCCGAACAAATCACAACTTCTTGCAACCCCAAGCTCAACAACTTCCTCTTGACTGCCTCAACCTCCAGCCCGCTTCCTTCGCCTTAGCCACCACTGTTGTAGCAGCCGACAGGGATCACTTGGACGTAGCTCTCCACCACCACCACCACTAAAAATATTGGAGTATTACTCTTATCTTTATATTGATGACAAATATTTATGAAAGAGAAAGATGACTGAAATAAATGAAGAATAAACATATTGAGAGGAATTTGACTCCGTAGGATGAGGCATGAGAGAAACCAATCTGTTTCAACGACAACTCAAATAAATACTCCTTTAGTAATGATAGTGTAGATGATTTCTGAGTTGTTGTCAACTATTTTAAAAAAATTTTGTGATTAAATGTGGATGGTAGAGAACTAGGAAAGAAGGAATTTGGCTCTTATAGGATAGAACATAGAAAAAAATTCATGTAGCTGACCCCACATAGTGGGATAAAGACTTATTGTATTACATATGTACATTTATATGTATATATATTTATTCCCTCTCCCCCCACCCCCCCACACACATGCGCGCGCGCGCACACACACATATATATATCCATTTTAATATGATTTTTTTTAAAATGAAATGAAATCCGATTTGTGTGCGGACGAGCCTGATTAATCTATCTTGGTAATCCATATGTATTAACCTAGTCCATTACATGATATGAAGCCCTGATGAAAAATGTTATGCAAAACATCGCACGTTTTAAACCTTTGTGTTCATAAATTCACATAAAATTTTCAATAAATGATTATTAATCTTATCATATGTATCTCCAAATGTGGTGATGAACACAATGCAATTCACAAATTCATATTTTGAGATCAATGTTGAATCAGGCTGGTTATTAATGACTTGAATTGTTGTCTCACAAGATGCACACTAAAAATGAGGTCAATAAACTTGAATGACTAAAATTGAGATAGGTTTTAGATATTTAAAATTTTTTATTACTTTTTCATCCACATAAATTTGATTTTTAATGTTGTGTGCAAATGAAGTCAAATTGCAAGTATGTAGATCTATGACATTTGTGACTCTAAAGACCCCATGAGATTAACATGCTTGAATTACCTGCCTTGAGGTTGTGAAGTTTTTCTTGCGCATCCAAGAGCTTCCAATTCTTTGATGATCTTGGTTAATTGAATAAATTAACTTTGAAATCACTTAAGGGCTGTTTGTTTGCTGAAAATGGATTGTGTAGTTAAAGGAATGCACCGTAAAGCAAAATTGTGCTGAAATTACTTTTAAGTTATTTGTTTGAGTACAAGAAAAATGCAGGAGTGTTTTTTTTTTTTAATTTAAAGTAAAATAACAGTAGATTTGGAAGACATTGTTGATTGGAGGTGGCCGTCGATGATGGCGACTGCCTCGGGCGGTGATAGTCGATGGTGGTGGCCTAGTGGGTGTGGTTGGTATTGCTTAACACAAGGTGTATTTGGAATTTTTCTGGATCTAACGAGTTATAAATACTTTGAAAATGAACTAAAGGATGTATTTTAAATATATTGAAAATTTATATTGCATTTGTTTTTCTTACAACCAAGCAGTTGGATTTTCAAAACGCATACATTCAAAATGCATTACACAAGGAAAACTTGCAACCAAGTATACCCTAAGTGTAAAGCATTAGATTTATAACTCATGGGATTGTTATCATCAAACTCAAGTTCATGTAAACTGAGGTTCATGAGTTCAACACATAATGTCAATATTTTCTATAAAAAAGTGCTACAAAATGAAACATAATATCATATGTAATACCACAAAAGCTTCAGACCAACAAAAACTATTAATTAATTTCAATATTTTATCAATTATATTTTACTTTTACCAGGTTTTCTTAATTTTCACCTACACAGTCATATTTGCATTAATTATTAGGTATGTCGGGTGTGTTGTGATTCTGTTTGATTCTTATTTTTGTAAAAAGGAAATGTTAGATTATTTTCAATATGTCAGACATATGTTGGGGTGTGGTGGAGGTATGTCTATAATTGACATGGACACATAAGGCTTTTTGATGTGTCCGGGCTTCATAGTCCATACATCTTAGAAATGCCTCACAGTGGTTCATGACAAAAAAATAAAAACAAATATTCAATTATAAACGATTCAAACTGAGAATTTAGATGGTTGATTGCGGTTTGCAGATAATATATATGTTTTAAAAAGTGTATGTAATAAACCCAAGGTTCAGGGTTCAACTGACCAGATGGTCTTAAAAAATGTACGTAATAAAGCCAAGGTTCAGGGTTAACAGGCCAGATGGTCTGTTATGATTTTGGATGCTTTTTCCTTGGAGATGTAGCAATTTTTTTTATTCCTCTCACTGATCATAGGCATATCGTACTTGTTTTTGTGTATTTTTTGAAAATCTCAGTGCAAACAACAAAAAGTTGTTTTCTAATACTTTTTTCCATAAAATAAGATTTGTACACTTATTTGTACTCGAGACTCGTCTTATCAAAAGCTTGCCTGAATCACTTAGCTGCAAATATCTGTACTAGTTTACGTTTTGGTGCTTGCTTGTTCTCGTATTAATCACTTAGTTGCAAATTTCCATACTAGTTTACGTTTTGGTGCTTGATTGATGCATGTCTTCTTCTTGCCTACATAATGGAGTTGATTTGCATCCCAAGTGTTGTAGCCAAACTCGTACAAAGTTTCATTTGTAAAGAATTCAAGTTTCAGAAAGTTGAACCCGAAAATTCCTCTGTTCTTCCTAACATTTGCTTAAATGTGCTCATTATTGATCATTTATCCATACACGAAGCTTGTCTTGCTTGAATAAATTTTTATTTATTCATCATGTATCTTTATTATGAAATAGATTTTCGTAAAGGTCAGGATCTTCATTCACGCCTTACTCTTCATGACATGCACCATTCATAATAAATTGGAAATTTATGCTTCCTTTTTAAATTACGTTTTGTATGCGGTATGATGTTTGTAATTTTTGTACATTATAATGCGATTGAATGAACGTTATTCTTGTTTGCATTTGTAACTTGTTGTCATGGAAGACAAGCTATGCTTTGTTTTCATAGGAAATATATTTCCATTCACGTTTGTTTTTGGCAATGTATACAGATAGAGTTTTTGGACCTACAACTACGACTAGGCTTGTGTATGATGTTGCTGCTCAACATATTGTTAGTGGGGCTATGGAGGGCGTAAATGGTAATATGTTTTAAATGTTTTATTATTATTTGAATTCTTTGTGAGCTTGTGAAAATGGAATAATAGCATGATACTTATGTGATTCTGTATACATGCATACATATGGGGAGCTATGTCTGGATGTGATGTTATTTCATTGTCAGATTCTTGTAGCCGTTTTGTGCAGTAAGTGTTATGTGAATTATCAAAAATGTTGCCAGGAGATACCATGCGTTATTGTGATTTAAAATGCCATCTATAAACTTTCTGTACTTATTATACTATTATAGATTTTCAATAGTGCACCTGAAATTTATTTTATGAGTTCAACATATTCTTGTGCTTTAGGTAAATTATATCATTTATACAATCTATGCTGTTTTTTTTTCTGTGCTCTTAGAAGAAAAACAATGAATATCTAGATGTCATGCAAATTCTTTTTTTACTTGCATAACCGCTTTTACAATTGGAGTCATAGTGCTTACAATACTTTGGATAGTAGTAAGCAAAAAAAAAATGTTTGAAGTTCCGTTTTAAATTTGATTTTGTGGACTTATCCTTATAAACCATTTGCATTGAATAGGCTCATAAATCATTATAATTTTCTTCTACATGAGGATATGGTTTATCAAATCATTTTCTTTATGACGTAATAATTTCAGAATTATGTTTTTGATGTTGTTTTCTACAATTGTTCTAAATCCTTCTTTATGTAAAATAGAATTATTTTGACTTTTTGGCGGATCTTTCTTAAGGTAAGGGTGATACATTTGATAATTGTCTTAGATTAGGATACTTTTCTTTTCTCTTGTTTGCAAGATGCATGACAAACCAGAAGAAAAAAGAACATTTTTATATTGTAGCTCAGAATTTATGTTTTTGTGTGCTTTTCTACATTTGTTATAAACCCGTTTCATGTAAAAATAGCATTATTATTTTTTACTTTTATGTCAAATCTTTCTTATGGTAATGATGATACCGTTACAGCACAGGCCAAGGGAGGTTAGATTGGCAATGGAGGTGGCGGAACCTGAAACCAAATCCAAGGAGATTTCAACCCATCTTGTAGGGCCAAACAAAACAATAATTCATTATATTATGATGGTAATTAAGGAGATAATTAAGGGAAAGATCTCTTATTTAAATTCAAATTGGAGAGAGAAATTAATAAGGAAAGCATACTGATTTGGAGGTTGATTAATTAGGAGATGCCTCCTAATTAAAGAGGGTTGTAATGGGGGCTGATTTGAAAGAAATTAATTAGGAGATACTTTCTAATTGAAGAGGACATATTTGGGGGCTGATTTGAGAGGGGAGTTGGGAGAGGGTTGTTTTGAAAGTTGTTTGAGAGAGTCGATCTACCGCTCGAATTGTAGACCGCTTGTATCTTTCTTTTTTATTGAAGTTATAATTAAAAATCCGACATCTATATTCATATTTCTGCAATTTTTTCCATTATGTGTTTGCTGTTTTTTCTCCAAGTCATATCAAATTACTATCAGAGCGAGATTTTTGGAGAGATGACAACAAAGAAAATGGATATATTGAAATGCAAAATAGAGCAATTCAAAGTCGGCATGGAGGAGAAGTTTTTAACTATAGAGAATCAAATGGAGAGACGATTTAGAGGGATAGAAGAGATGTTAAGGAAAACCATGAAGATGTAATCCAAAACTCTACCAGAGGTTCCAACTACTAACCCTAACCAAGATTTGATCGATATTTTCTTGCCAAATCTAAGGGAAAAGAGATTGGACGGAAGGGGTTTGATGAAGAGAGTTTTTTTTTTAATTATTATTTTCAAGAGCCTCCTCCTAGGGCTCCAATAAAGGGTGGATCATGGTTTCTAGAAGAGGAGACAACAAGGAGGGAATTGTGTGGTGGAGTGGCCTACCATTATGGGAGGCATTTCGAGCAAGGGGAGTGAGTGATTGTTGATGGAGGGGGTTGAGCTGAATCATGGGATCGTGTCATGCAAGAGCGGATCGAAGAAAGGTGGGAGTCCCGCCCTCGATATAGGGGGAAACATGGAAGGATCACGACAATCGCTATACTGGAGGAGGAATAAGCTATTGGGGGTGGTAGCGATCCTAGGGTGAGGAAGTTGAGGATACCAATATTTGAAGGGGAGGATGATGGGTGCGTATATCGGGTGGAGATGTATTTCATGGTGAATGGGTTGAATGAGGAGGAGAAGTTTACGGCTGCAGGGCTATGTCTGGAGAGGAAAGATTTAGCTTGGTTCCAGTGGCTGATAGCATGACCAATAACTAAGTAGCTAAAGAAAGCCATGAGCAGCTTCCCATCCTTCCACGTTGAGGACAAGGTGTGCCTTTTTTGTGGGGGGGGGGAGTATTGTTACAGCTGTAAGCTAAGGGAGGCTAGATCGGCAGTGGAGTGGGTGGAACCTGAAACCAATTTCAAGGAGATTTCAGCCCCTCTTGTGTGGCCAAGCAAAATAGTAATTCATTATATTAGGAGGGTAATTAAGAAGGGAATTAATTAAGGATTGAAATATCTCCTATTTGAATTCAAATAGGAGAGGGAAATTAATAAGGAAAGAATGCTTATTTGAAGGGGATTAATTAATGAGGACATATTTGGGGTTTGATTTAGAGGAGATTAATTAGGAGATATTTCCTAATTAAAGAGGACAGATTTGGGGGTTGATTTTGTAGAAAATTAATTATGAGATATTTTTTAATTGAGAGGGCAGATTTTGGGGCTGATTTGAGAGAGGAATTGGGGGAAAGCTGTTTTGAAATTTGTTGTTTATCGATTTACCTCTTAAATTGTAGATCACTTGTATCTTTCTTTTTTATTAAAGTTATAATAAAAAATTTGCCATCTATATTCATATTTATGTAGTTTTTTTTCATTGCGTGTTTGCTGTTTTTTCTCCAAGGCATATCAAATTGGTATCAGAGTGAGATTATTGGAGAGTTGGCAGCAAAGAAAATGGATGTATTGAAAGACAAAATAGAGCAATTCAAATTCGACATGGAGGAGAAGTTTTTAACTATGAAGAATCAGATTGAGAGTTTATATGGAGGGATAGAAAAGGTGTAAAGGAAACTCATGAAGATGCAATCCAAAACGCCATTGGGGGTTCCAATTACTAATCCTAACCAAGATTTGACTGGGATTTTTTTGGCCGAATCTATAAGGGAAAGGAGATCAGATGGAAGAGGTTTGATAAAGAGAGCTTCGTCCATCAAGAGCCTCCTCCTAGAGCTCCAATAAAGGCTGGATCAGGGTTTCCAGAAGAAAACACAATAAGGAGGGACTTTTGTGGTGGAGGTGGAGTGGCCGATCATTATGGGAGGCATTTCGGGTTAAGGGAGTGGGCGACTCGAGATGTAGGGGGTCGAGCTGAATCATGGGATCGTGACATGCAAGAAAGGATGAAAGAAAGGTGGGCGTCCCGCCCTCAATGCACGGGGGAAACATGGAGAGATCATCACAATCACTACACTGGAGGATCAAGATGGGTGGTAGCGATACTAGGGTGAGGAAGTTGAGGATGCTAATATTTGAAGGAGATGATGCCTATGGGCGGGTATACCGGGCGGAGATGTATTTCATGGTGAATGGGTTGAATGAGGAGGAGAAGTTTACGACTATAGAGCTATATTTAGAGAGGAAAGCTTTAACTTGGTTCCAGTGGATGATACCATGACCCATAACTGAGCAGCTGAAGAAAGCCATGAACAATGTCCCATCCTTCCACCTTGAGGACAACTTGCGTCTTTACGGGGAAGTATTGTTACGGCTATAGGCCAAGGGAAGGCTAGACCGACAGTGTAGGGGGAGGAACCTGAAACCAAATCCAGGGTGATTTCTGCCTCACTTGTGGGGCCCAACAAATCAATAATTCATTATGTTAGGAGGGTAATTAAGGAGGAAATTAATGAGATAATTAAGGAGGGAAATATCTATTTGAATTCAAATAGGAGGAAAATTAATTAGGAAAGCAGGCTGATTTGGGGGCTGATTTAGAGGAGATTAATTAGGAGATGTTTCATAATTAAAGAGGGCAGATTTTGGGGCTGGTTTGAGGGCTGATTTGGAGGAAATTAATTAGGAGATATTTCCTAATTGAAGAGGACATATTTAGAGGCTGATTTGAGAGGAGAATTGGGAGACGGCTGTTTTGAAAGTTGTTGTTTATTATTTGCTATAACTAGTAGGGTTTATGTTATGTTTTATATGGAGAATTTTATGTGAGAGTTATTGTAGTTTTTTTTTTTCGTGAGGGCTTCCTAGTGGCGTCTAGGTTGTTTGGGAGAGTTGATCCACCTCTAGAATTGTAGATCGCTTTTATTTTTTTTATTGAAGAAAAGCTGCTATCAATAGTCATATTTATGCATTTTTTTTCCATTGTGTGTTTGCTGTATTTTCTCCAAGGCATATCCGATACATGTGAGAATTGTTGGTAGTCCGAACCCTGGGTGTTGGACATTCTGATCCGGGAATTGTGTTTCATGGTTCCTGCATGATGTAGTGATTCACTTTCATATGCTCATAAGTGCTTCTAGGAAAACCATGTCAGTAGTAAATATTTTGTTTAGGCGAAATTGTCAAATAACCGGTGTCTAATTACCTGTTTGCAGAAGAGAAATTATAGAATCCTGTTGATAAATTAGGGTATAAGGTTCTTATTACAATAAAAAAGAATTCAAACAATCTCTCTCCCTTATGGTATTAGAGCCGTAGAAAAATTATTCCTTGCATCACTTTCGTTTGATTTCCTTGAAGTCATCGTCAACAGCTTTAATTCATCGCAAGAGGAACAGCTGTTTTTTTACTTAACCACAGCAGAAGTCTACCTTCACCATTGTAGGCGTCTTCATCACAGCAAGTGACAACAAGATCCTTCCTTCCCCACAGTAGGCACACCCTTTATTCTTCATCAGCTTCAATAGGTGTATCCTCCATCATTAATATTAAGATTAAAAAAAAAAGAACAAACCAAGGGAGAAACTAAATGGTTCTGAATCTTACCCAAAATTTCAATCTCTAATATGTGAGTATCAAAACCTTCAAGGCTTCAACCTTCATTTATATTGAATTGAAGGGAATTATCTTGTTTGGTCCCAATTCTTGAGAATTTATCTTTAAAAAAAAAAAATAAAAGAATGCTAGGCCATCTTATTGGCCCATATTGAGAGAAGTTGATCTCAATTTTATTACTTGGGACATATTATAGTAGACTACTCAATCATGTCATGGTTGTGGAATTCAATGAGACTGGAAATTAGCAAAATGTGCATGTTCCAAACCACAACCAAAGATATTTGGAAAAAATGAAGCAAAATATACTTAAATGTTCGGGCTGCTATCTTAGTCCATGAAAGTAAGATTCAAATTCTTGCCACTGAGCAAGGTATTCTTTCCGTCACCTAGCATTTTAACAAAATGAAAATTTTGTAGCTCAAACTTGATCCCTACATCCAACATATTAAAATGATGTACAGTGAAGTTGTTGCTATACTGCTAATTTAATTGAAAAATATAACACGTCCAAATATTTAGAAAAGGCTCCCTTCTAACCTAAATAATTTTTTTAACTACTAAAAGTGAGGAATTTAGGCGAGGTGTTATGCTAGAAACACCATCTTGGGAGTGTATAATTGGTTTGGTATCATGTTTGGTTTTGCCTAGGCAAGCACTTTCACAGGCCCAGTTCACTTCATCCATTCTGCTGGCATAAACCTACGTTGAAGGCATCATACTGCATAATGGTTTATTCTTTAGCTTACGTAGTTGCTTCAGATTTTATTCTATTTCCTCTTATAATTCTGGCACTTCTGGTTTTTTATAAGGGTATTTGTACAGCATTGGAGCATATGAGGAGGCTCTAAGTAACAACCTTTTTATGTTTAAACCTGTCGACATTTTAAGCACATGTTTCCTCAAAACCTAGTTATTTATATAATTATATTTTGTCATTGGTTTTATTTTTATGGAGTGCATAAGTTAGCATGTATCTCCTTGTTGCAGGAACCATTTTTGCTTACGGAGTTACAAGTAGCGGAAAGACCCATACAATGCATGTGAGTATTTCAACCATATCAATACGTTTCTCTTTGATAGGATTAACGTGTAACAGTTCAAATGTGTCTCATCACTGCCCAAAAACTTAAAAAAACATGTTGCCACTGACTTTATCCATTATGGACAAAAATGTAATGAAATATATCATCTCTCTCATGAGCTGTTGATACAAATATGCACAAATTATTGGAGAGACTTAAGGTGGTATTGTTTATTTTTTATTAGTATAATCTTAAATGTATCCTAACTCTGATCAAGCAATTTAGAGTCAATTGTGACACTGCTTATGTTTTTTTATGTTAGCCCTTGGCATCCAAGCATTTTCTTTGATTTTATACAACAACAACAACAACATCAAGCGTTTATCCCACTACGTGGAGTCAGCTACATGAATCCTTTTCCTTCATTGTATCCTATTAAAAGTCAAATTCTCGTTTAAATATAATAAAGAAAGTCATTCTGAATATTTTCTAACAAAGTCTCTGCCTCTACCTTTCTTAACATAAGTCAAATCTAATACCTCTATTCTTCTAACCGGGTCATCGGAAAGGCCGCCGTTTTATGTGACCAAACCATCTAAGGCGACTCTCTCTAACCTTAATGCATCGGGCTTGTTGTGTGATAGAAAAGTACCCCTCATTCCTAATATTTTCTTTGATTTTATGTTGTAGCAAATTATTCTAAAGGTTTTCCCTCAAAAGTCAGACAAGTTGTTTAATTTTATAGGCGTTCTACTTCAGCACGAGTTTTAAGGGGCTCTGCAGACGTTAACATTAATTGAAATATTGCGTGAAAAATGGTGACAGAGAAAAAGATGACAGCAAAACTTAAGTTTGACTGTTAATTCTGTTAATTTTATTCATACTAGGATTAGTTTTCATTGATAAAGTGTAAAATATATTATTCAGAATTCCAAAAGATTAACGGGATGGCAGTAGTGGAGGTCCATCTTTCTGGTTGATGCGTGAGTCTAGAAATGTCCAAATGGGGAAGTGGAAAAGCAAATATTTACTGTTGATTCATTTTGTAGAAAATTTCTATCAGAAAATAGGAGAAACGCACATCCATAGTTGTATTTGTGATTTTTTCCCTTTTGTTATTTTGGCTTCTAAATTATGATACTCGTTTTCCTCATTTTCCTCTTAGCATGGATGCGTTTCTTAATGGGTTGGACTACGGTTCATATGTTGTAAAAACTATATGTTATACCTTATGTTGGCAGAAAGCTCACTTTTTTGTTTCTTGGGCCTCTTCATGCAGGGAGATCAAAGGTCTCCTGGTATAATACCACTGGCGGTGAAGGATGCATTTAGTATTATACAAGAGGTTGTGTGAAGGAACGGCATACTTACTTTTCCAAAATAATTTTTTTTCTTTGATAGCATGTTATTAAAGACCATTTCTTTTTTGTAGACGCCAAATCGAGAGTTTCTCCTTCGTGTATCCTATTTGGAAATCTATAACGAGGTATGTTTTTATCGGATCATTTTTTTGCTTGAATTTTAGTTGAGCATTATCTATTTTTTATTGTACATATTAAATGCTTTCTACATCTCTAAAAATCATAATTTCATCTGTATCTTTGAAACTTTTTCAGTTTCTCTACAAATATCATGACTTCATGATATAAACCTTGCAGATGACCAAGGAAATTATCATGAGTATGTGATATATTTTCTATCCGTAGTGCTTAATATCACATTTGCCTTGGATGCAAGCCTGGATTGCTCATGGATAGAAGAATAAATATGAGTATGATCCACCCACAAATAACTTTGAAATCTCTATGTACTTGTTTAATCAATCATTAACTCAAACCTCGACCATGGTTGAATTTGTTCTCTGATCGGTATTTACTCAGGCATTCCTCATATAAGCTGTATGAATCCAATCCTGCTGTACTCTACTAGTTGTGGATTTCCAATTTAGGCATTTGCTATATCATTTGTTTTCTCTTGTTGAAATTGAATCTTAAATCAAAATCCTTAATTAGCTCTAGCCATCATGATGTAGAGAGAGAGAGAGAGAGAGAGAGAGAGAGAGAGAGAGAGAGAGAGAGAGAGAGAGAGAGGTTTCCAACCGGGTAGCAACAATTGCCTTCTTTAATGGGAATCTTAAATTGGGAAAGGATTTAAGGGCCTTTTAAAATTTAAAATTCAAATCAAATTAGATTGATTGAATGGGCTTTCCCTAATTTAACTCTTTCATTTATGGAAGATTCTTTTTTAGATTTAAATAGATTGAAATCTGAATTAATACTTCCCAAACTACTACAAGCTTATATTAGGAAATTAATTGAAATTTTAAAAGTGGAGGGAAAGAGGGAAGAGGGTGGAATATTTTAATTGGAGAGAGAGGGAGGGTCCTACCTATGCAAGGGCTTGATTGGGGGTTTGATTGGAGGAATTAATGAGATAGGAGAGAGGGGCGCGACCAAGAGAGAGGAGGGGGAGGAGTTGTTCACATTCAATGAATGTGTCTAGATTCAATGAACATGGAAATTGGAATTAATTCTAATTAATTTTAGATTGGGAGAGATTTGGGGGGTTTCCTAAAAGATATTTACTAATTAGGAAAGTTTTTGAATTTTAAATATCATTTGAATTCAAATTCATTGACTTTTCAAATTAATAATAAGATATTTTAAGAAGGTGTTCATGAGGCCAATTGAATTTGAAACAAGGGTTTGGAGGGGGCTTGCCAGCGGCTTAAGGTTTGGGCTAGGGAGGCCGACAGCTAAGGAGAGGCCGAAACTTGGGATTGAGGTGGAGAGGTTGGAGGCCGGTGGTTGGTGGGAGTGGGAGAAGTGGCCGACGGCTATAGGAGGGAGTTTGACCGGCGGTGGGGGAGGGGGGGAACAAGAAAGAAAGATAAACCATGAGCCCGGCTGATGGGTGCTACGATGCCCTCACCTAGGGACTTCAACCACGAGCTCGGACACTTCCTGCAGCTGGTGGGTATTTCGTTGCCCTCACATATGGACTTCTACTCTTCTAAGAACTCCCATAGCTCTCAAGAATAAAGTGTAGAAAATTTTCTTCTTAATAATCCATCATCCTTATACAATAGCATATGCCTCTATATATAGGCCTAAAAATAAAAGAAACTCAAAAAGCAAACATGCCCCTAGGGCTTATATAGGACTACTCTCTCAAGTGTGGGTAGAAAAGGGAGAAATACACAAATAAATAAAAAAATACAAATAATACTTAAAATAGAATGGTGCGATAAGGGCCGTCGATCTTCGTCTCCTCTTATAAGCTTTCACGTTTGGATGTCCGCATCACATCATCTTTACATCAAGGTATGGAACTCTCTCTGAGAAAGAACTTTGAAGTCTTCATGATGGATTGCATAAATATAGCGTCTATAGATCTTTAAAGTAAAGATGATGGTAACAAACTTTAGATCGTTAGTAGAATAATTTTTGTCCTGTGCCATGAGCTGCTTGGAGACATGAACCACAAATTTTTTTTTTGGCATGACCACAAACTTACCTTACTGCATTGAAGCATAATCCATGCCTTAATATTAAGCGTGTATAGGTTTGGAAGCCATCATTTTCTTATGGAATTCTGTAGTACTGATTTCTGAAAGTTCTCTAAGGACAAGAAAAGACCTTTCAAACTTTACAGCCTTTCAGGACAACCTTGTCTATAGTTCAAGAATATAGGACTGTGATTTGGTCTTGGCCAATCAATCATGACCTTAATCTTGCCTGGATTAATGGAATTTCAAGTTAAATTGACAATGTCCCTAAGGAAAGCCAGCTCCCTTCATTAGCATTCACGTTTGAATAACTTAGCATAAAGCATTTTCCTTAATTTGTAGCCCAATTTTGGGTGAGCATTCTTTGTCCACATTGTAGTATAGGTCAAGATGTCATCAATGAAGACCATAAAAAATTTATTCTAGCAAGATTTAAAAATAATATTCATCAAATGTAATAATGTAGTTGAAGTATTTGTCAACTTGCATCATCAAAAAATTGTAATGACCATAACAGCTTAAAAGCTTGCTTTGACATTCATCAATCTTAATCTTCAATCATTGTTATCTGGACTGTATGTTAATCTAATAATGCGATGGTGCTTGCATGCACAAAGAAGCGATCAATATGAGGTAGTGGATAGTTTTTTATTTTTTGCATTTTCATCTTTTTAACTCTTATAGGTGATGCTCAAATTCATTCTCCTTATTCTTTACAAAAAGCATAGGTGCTTGCCATTGTGGCATGCCATACTTTATGCGTAACGAATCACTTGGTCAGCAACTTCATTCCATGATGAAACTTTTCGTTAGCAACTTCTGCAATTGGACCTTAATTTATTGAAGCTTAGTAGTTAATGTATGGCTTGAATACAACAAAAAGTGTATAAGGGCCATTTGCATCAACGTCTAAGTACAACATTAAATAAGCAAGTGTTCCTACATTATGGACAATGTGGCAAAGAAGTTAGTCCCTAAAATTATAATTAGGATAAGAACTTAGAGCATATATATACTACAATCAAATTAATAAAATTAATAGATATTATTAATCATAGGAAATAAATACTCTATATATTCAATAAACTAAATGGGTTGGGAAAAAGACTAAGGAGATTGATAATTTGGGATTGAAATAGTGGTATTCAACTATTCAGATAGGATTCATACTAGAAATGATATAGATATAATTATAAATAAGAGTTTAAATGATAATATTGTATAAATTAATAGAATTGGAGATAAAATTATAGCTTTAAAATGATTTTTAATGTGAAGGTTATTATGCTCCTCAAGTAGGTTTTCTGTGTTCAAAAATAAAATATTAAAATGATTTAGAATTAATATAAAAGATAAATCTCTTGGAAAAAATGTTTTTATTGGAGGAGATTTAAATGGGTGTGTTAGAGTGGTAGAAAATTTTTAAAGCATTCATGGTGGCTATGTGTTTGAAGAAACTAATGAATGTGGTGACACCATATTAAATTTTGTTCTAGTTTATGATTTTGTAATTTCTAATGTTTATTTAAGAAAAGATGAGCATTCCATGACTTATAAGAATGGACACTAAAAATGTAGATTGATTATGTTCTTTTAAGAAAAATAGATCATTTATATTGCAATGATTATAAAGTCATTCTAAGTGAATGTTTATATACCTAATATTGCTAATTAATTTTGGATTTTAAGATGAAGGGGTGTAAAATGAAAATTAAAGTATAATATTGTCTTAGGTTTAAACGGTGTTATTTAAAGTGTTCTATAAATTTTTTTTTTGAGTAAATTCATGATCATAAAATTTGAATTGTTCATGAAGAAGCTAATGTTATTTGCAAAGTATTTGTTTTGAGAATTAAAAAAAAGCCCCTAATAATAAAAATAATTGATGGTGGAATCAAAATATGTTTGAAAAAATAAAAAATAAGAAGCTTTTTTATGCAAATTGATGTAGATGTAAAAATAAAAAAATTGGTAAAAGATATATAGGGGCCTGTAGAGTTTTTAAGAAAGCAACATGTGATGCAAAGAATTTAGCTTTTAGCTTTTAGTGATTTATATAATAGATTATATACTAAGGTTGGTGAAAGATGCATGTATAATTTAGCAAAACAAAGATATAAGAGAATTAAAGATTTAATTCAAGTGAAGTGCATTAAGGATGCAGATAAAAAAATGTTTTTCTTTGAAGAGGATATTCAGCATAGGTTGATGAGATATTTCAATGAACTTTTCAATGAAGATTGTGAGAATATGATTAACTTTATTGACTTTAGCACCCTTAATTAAATTTTATAATTTTATTTGTATCTTCATATGAGGACTTAAAGTTGGAGAGGATTTAAAGAAAATAAAATGCGGAAAAGTAATAGGACTTGATGATATTCTACTAGAAGTGTAGAAATGCTTTGTAGAACAAGGAATTTCTTAGCTTGCTAAATTATTTAATATTATTTTGAAAACTAAATAGATGTATGATGAGTGGAGTGTGTTGGTTCCTATTTTTAAGAATAAATGTGATGCACAAGAGTTTGCAAATTATAGATAAATTAAGTTAATGTATTGTTAAAACGGAGAATTTGAGAGGGAAAATCTTGAAATTATTCATTACAATCTTCCCTATTTATAGATCTATACAAGACATCCTAATGAGGAAATAATAAATTACAGAATTAATACATAAATAATACATAAAAATCTTTCCTAAATACGTCCCCTCATTATGGCGTGATCCATGAGAGTATCCACGGATTGGCGTGATCCATGAGAGTATCCCACGGATTGATCTTTGTGTCCGTCGGATCCTTTGCACTAGGAACGGTTGGATTTCGACAGCTGGATTTCAACATGTATCATGCATTAAAATTATGAGAGAGGGCAATTTAGCATGGGTTACGACATGGTACTAATATTTGTCAAATTCAATTTAGATTCATGCTGGGTGGGTCTACTTTGAAAGTTATACATTTATTAAGAAGTTT